AGTGTCATGTAGTCTGGTAGAAGTTTACCAGCGGTTCAAACGTCCTTGCTGCCTCCATCGTCAGGATGATGATTATAATGTCCTGATGATGGAGGCAGCAAGGAACTCTGAAACGCTGGTAAACTTCTACCAGACTACACGGCATTACAACCCAGAAGACAGACATCTAGGTAATTTCTTGTGCATGTAAGTGACTATCATTTCTGAAGAAGGCTGTTGTTCATGGAGTTTATGAACCCATATTTTTCAACGAGCGAGTAAAGTTATATTTGATTTTAATGTAAAGTAGGGTTTTGAGTGGACCCACACTAACCAAAGTAAAACCCAGGCAGCGTCTATCAGTGGAGACTTAAGTCATAAAATTCTATTGAAATCCTTTGAGTGACTCCGCATACGAAACAAAGGGGGTGCATGGTGATTCTCCCTTTAATGTGCTCATTTTGCGCGCTGAGTTTGAAGGCTGTTAAAAACGGACAGGTGGAAATAAATAATACCTAATGCACCGTCGTTTGGGAAGGGAAGGACTCGTTATATTCTAATATTGCCTCTACTTTAATGACTTTGTAAATGGTTCATAATAGATTTCCGTATTGTAAGTTTAAATTTGATTTAAAGGAGTTGCTGATGGGAGAGTAGTTTGAGGAGTTGAAGAGTTACTAACTTTTATTAGCGCCCCTCTCCACCGCCATAACAACACTCCTGTTTTGCGACTAAACTTCCCAATAAACTTCTTGTCAGCTCTTCGCAGCACTGATTTCCGATCAGCTGCTATATAGAAAGTTGCTGATATTTGTACGCCGTAAGAAGTGATGCGAATACGTTGTAAATATATATATATATTTAATTTGTTTCTATGTTCATTTGCTGCAAATACGAATTTATCGTTGATACAATTAATCAACAGTAAAGGTACTACAGGAACTACCTCTGTGTAGAAAAATTCTTTTTTGAGTACGTTCGTCTCATCAAATATCTCGCGATTTATAAAACCAGTATTTCCGTTATCGGGCTCATAAGATCCCGATATCCACCCCTGTCCTGAACCAGACGAATCAAATTCGCAGCCTCCGACCAAAAGATGTATTTTAATATTATTCTTTCATCTACACTTAGGTCTTCCAGGAGGTATCTTTAGTTCTGGGTTTCCAACAGAAATTTTTGTACGCATTTCTCACATTGCCGTGCACGTTACATGCCACATTATTCTTAATCCTTGATTTCATAATCTTAATAAAACATTACTAATTTTTGATGAATATCACCGATAGTGGAGCTTCTAGTAATGCAGTTCCCTCCAGCCTCCTGTCACTTCGAAGATCAGTCTTCTGGTCCTTTGCGCCGTGTATTCTGGTCGAAGTTTGCAGACGTTCAGGAGGTGCTTGCTGCCTTCATCTTTAAGGCTTGCACCTCTTAAACGTCGGTCATTTTCTACAAGACTTTACGACAAATCATACCAGAAGACAGTCATTTATAGTGACGTTGGGGTAAACATTTCCGGTTGCTGTTTCTTCCTACATCTCTCCGTTGGACATCTCTCGCATCTTCTGCCTCTCGGCTCGCTATATCGATTTTGTGTTTCGTTTTATGTTTAAATGTGCAAACGGCTATTTTGAAATAATGGAATTACTTATTATGACATACTTGTGAAGGTGTTCCCTTGCTGGCCCTTATGATGTCTCATAATGATCTCATTATTCATAGATTGGAATTAATCTCTGGGTTTACAGAAAATTTACAACATGAAGAGTTATAACAGATATCTCAAATTTCCAGCTCTGTAAGCCTGTAAAATTGCTTAAGATATAGCAGGTTCCTCAAATTTTGGCATTCGAAGTCACTGAAACCAAATCTTTTGACATCTAGACGGACAGTGTTACAACGGATTCATGTTCCTTGAAGAGCGATATATGAAGTGTAATGTTTGACACTTCGCGTTGAAAACTTTTGAATTTTCAAATAGACACATTTTTATGATGGTAACTTATCTCTCACAACAAATTCGAAATTGCTACTGAATTACTAACTGTATAAAAATGAGGTTTGGTAAATTAAAACTTCATTATATTGTTGTCTATCGCGTGCTTTATGTTATACACTTCGCTCATGAAACGCAAATTTATATCAGGTCCAAAATGACATTAATGTACGTCTTGAAAAAAGGCGTTAACTTCATTGTTTTTGCAAGCTTATAGTTTCGAATCAAAAACAGCTTGGCGATCATATATCATTTTATAATACGTTTGTTATATTCATACTGTTATGAATGCACTGCCTCTTAAATCGCTCCTCTGTGTCAGATAGCGATATATTATAAAAACATAAGGCAACGAAATAGCGGTGGACGCATATCGTATTTTGCACTGTTGCAAACCTGGTATTGTCTCATAGCAACCAGACGGAGAGACAGGAATTCGGACATAAATGTACACCACTGAACGAAAGGATTTTATATTATACATTAACGTCATTGTATTTTTCACTGCTTATATTTCAGCCAAAGTAATCCGAATTTATCACGTTTTCAGATGCTTAAAATAAGTCAAAATAAAATCTTTCACATCAAATTACCTGTAAGATTTATGCTTTGAGCTTATTTAACAGGTTTTTTTACAAAATTTTATTTTTAATCATGTATAGTAGGGGTTGTAGACCACCGATTGCAAACGGTTCGAAATGTCATAAACATATCCTTCAAGAGACTGAAAAGATAAGAACTTCTAACAGAGACTTGGACTTCCATAATGCATTTTATGGATATTTTTCTTGATAACGGCGTGTTTTACTGTCGTGTTGTTAGTAATGTTTAAATTTAATTTTAAATATAACACGTGCAGTATTGTGAAATGTATTTCCGTTAGTTTCTAAGCCCATGACAAGATCTCTCCCTATTTAAGAACTTACATTATATTGCTTTCATGACCACGAAGAATGGTTTTAGTTTATTGGTGTTTTCGAAATAGCCAACTTAACTAGCTGAGTATAAGCTGGAATTGGATTAATTCTGTTTATCACGTTTCCTATGTACTACTCAGCAGATTGAAACGGAAATTATTGACGAGTAACATGGCGTCTGAACAGTTCAAGAAGGAAGCAAGTTATACTTTACTTTTGGATTTGTTTCTAACAGGAAACACATCTTCAGTGACTTTAATTTTGTACGTATTCGTTTTAAAACGTATTTGATAATCTTCGAAATATGGAACTGAAAATAATATATTTCAGGACTTTATGATGCTGGAAACTTGTTAGAATTTCTTGAAAGTCTCTTTTATAAATCTCTGTCATGTTGTCACTGCGTTTATTTTTAGAGTGGCGGATGAAATGCAAACCTTCCAGGATAGATTAGTTTCAGAGAATATCTGTTTCTCGATAATATTTATAGGATGATTCAAAGCTCGAATATAGTACTTAGGGAGGTTGCTGGGGAGATCGTTTGGATCAGGAAAAGTGAACCTTTTTTCACATTCTGCACTGTTTTCGAGTTAAGACTTTTTTTGGTTGATGTAACTCTTTTATTGAGACGTTGATTTTTACAAAACGGAAACAGTTGATTTTTACGTAACTTATCTGTTTGACTCTCTTGTTTGCAATGAAAGGAAGAAACAAAGAAAATTCTGCGCTTTGTAACATTTTTTAATTGTCACTTCGAAGTATTTCCTTTTGAGTACTTTTCTGATCGCGTGGTGGGGACTCGTCCACTCATCGAATGGACCACTGTCCGAGTATGATAACTGCGCTTCAGCTAAAAGTACTAACAGCGCGGACACCCCGTAGAACGATCATAAATCAAACGAAAATAAAGTAATGTCAATTTAAGAACGTAATCACTTGGGAACGGTGATGAATATAAAAACGTTATTTGCACTTTCTGCTGCAAATTATCTCCCCAAAAACCTCCGTAAGTACTGTGCAACAATTTTTGAACCGCGCTGTAGAAATGTATATTTGACCCGAAAGAGTCTTCTTCAGGGTACTTATGACTCGACTTAACCTATGAAGTCTCATACCATTGTTTAGGGTTCTGTATCCGCGATTCCTTATTTTTATATTTTTAATCCATCACTTATCATGATGATCCAGATGGACATTGAATAACCTGCGCAGTTGAAAATGTTTTGTTAAATAAACGAATGAAATTACGATACATGAAGTTACAATATCTGAAGTCTTGAAATTGTATTTTTATTTCGTCGGAAACATTCCCTAATACGAGTAATAAAATATTTAAAGAAATAGTTTAACGGAAGTAGTGTTTTAGCTACCAGCTGTCGCCCTGTCGGTATAATTTTATAGACGAAGTTTGAAACATCTGATCTTACAAAGTTCTACAAAAGTAGGCCAGTTTATGTTTCCGTACTGTTCTCGGGCGACGAAGAGACAGGCAGGCACATCTTTCTTAAAACATTATAAACTCCTAGTTTGTGATTTATTTAATGTGAAGAGTTACTTTATAAGAAAATATAGTTGTGTAACTTTAACCCCCACTTATTTTATAAATGCATTTCATGTAATCTCACATGAAGATTGATGTCTTCTGGGTTGTTACGCCGTGTAGTTTGGTAGATGTCCACCAACGTTTCAGAGGTCATGCTGCCTCCATCATCAGGGCGATCATAGCCCTGATCATGGAGGCAGAAGACAGCAATCTTCAAGAAAAACTAGAGTAAGGATATGAAAAGCAATTTCTCATCTACTACAGAAAAGAGTATTGGAAAATGGCTTTCTTTATTGTTTTTGAGTAATCATAATATATTTTACAGCAGTAAAGGATTAACCCATTAGAGGGCCTGTAAGCTTAATTGGAACGATACTTCATAATTACATGTTTTCTTCTGAATTTAGTTCATGAATTTGTTTAGGCAGTATGACCTCTGAAACGTTGGTGGACATCTACCAAACTACACGGCGTAACAACCCAGAAGACAGCAAACTTCAGACTCACGGCTGTGAAAACCTCAAATCTTACATAATCTCACATAGTTTGTATCTTGTGTTTGTAGCTCCTGAAGTGCAGACCACGTCCGTGTGTAGTATCGTGAGCGATATGTTCTCTCTTGGGATGGTAGTGTGTACCATCTTTAACCAAGGCCGACCTCTTATCCAGGCGAATCACAGTAGCTCCACCTATATGAAGCAGCTGGAAGTGGTAAGTAACAGGCAATGCAACTGTTATTACCATCTATAATAATAATCCGTGGCGTAACAGCCGTCTGTGAGCCAAAGCCGACTAACTTGACTGCTGGCCTCACGTTCACATGCCTAAGCAGAGGTGAACGATCATCCAACCAGATATAGGGTGACGTGTGGTCAGCACGACGAACCCCCAGCCATTGCTAGTTTTCATGACCGGATTACGCTACTCACTGTAGCTCCCCAATTTCCTCACGATGCTGGGTTGGCACCGGTCCCATACATTGGTCGAAAGCTCATGAGAAAACTTCTTCTCCCCCGAGACTCGAACCAGCGCGCATTCCGTATCACCGGCCCGAAGCATGATGTCTCAGACCGCGCGGCTACGGCGCGGGACTATTACCATCTATACCATTATTAATTTATATATATTCCTGCCTGAATCTAGCTGCCTCCTTAACCAGGTACGGACCTCTGAAACGTTTTGTAAGCTTCTACGTCGTAGCAACCCAGAAGACAGCCATCTTTGTACTCACCGCCATGAGAATCCCAAATCCTGCATAACGTGATATCTGTCCCGGTATCAAAACCAGAGATTTCAGATTCTCAAGGCGATGAGTATGAAGATGCAGATATTCTAAATGTTTGGGCGAATGCTGAGATTGTGGCTTCAGATAAATCGCTAACCGTTCTTCCCAATTCGTTATCATTTTAGAATCCTTAATTGCCTTTCATACTGAAAGTGGCCACACCTTTGGCAAAGCAAGAAGAACTTTACACTCCAAACACGCAAGGCCTGGCATGAATCACGCATAGAATAATTCACCATCATTGTCACTGCGTGTCGTTTGTAGACGGTGTAGTGTTACCTGGTATGTTGTTAAAATGGCTTTAAAGTGTCATTTATATAATTGTTGGATTTACAGAATTTAAGTTTCGTTTTATATATTTGGATAATACTGCTGTTTCATATTCTAAATGCCACAGGTTCGCTTCTTGGCACAGAGGTCAACTAATTTGAGGTTCTTGTGGTATTTTAGTGTCTGTAGGAAAATACACACACATAGTCTCAAATTGTCAGTGCATGATCACTTAGAACCTAAACAAATTGTTTGAATGTATCCGAACATTATCATTATAAAACGTAACGCTGCATGCTATTCTAAATGTTTCACAGAAATTAAAATGAACATCTGCGCATGCTCTGATTAGTACTACAGTAGAAAAAATCATTCTCGTTTGAGAAGGATGGACATGTAGCAAGGAAGCTCAAACCGTGGGGCAAAATGAATACCTGATTACGGCCCTGATACATAAACCAGCCCATCCTGGGGTCTCGGGTTCGATTCCCGGCGGTGCCCGAATTTATAACTTGTGTTGGGCAAGGCCGTGGTCTAGGCAACACGGAGTTTTCCTCCGGGGGCTTCCCCGGTTTCTCCGTGGCATCCCATTCACACACAGAAGAAGGCAATGGCAAACCACTTCTGGATCATCTGCCAAGAACATATATGAACAGGTCCCAGTCCGAGAAAAGGAAGGAAGGATCCTGTTCATATGGACCTGTCATCAGACAGAACACTAAATAAAAATAATAGAAAAATATCGATATTGTATCAGTTTGTTAAGTGACTTAGTACTATTTGCTCCCACCTTCATTCCACACACGCCACAGTAACAACTGTCATTCTGTCTTGTTGTAAATGCGCCGATAAGTAAATTAATATTATGATAATTTTAGCTAAGCGCAGGGAATCTTTGCGTACAGCAAACGTGCTCTTTTGCGTACAAGATGTACTTTGGTCGAGACATACACGTGAATCCAGAAGGCAAGTTAAAAATGGGATAGAAACAGGGAAAGTTTATCACGCAACGGAAATAGTGTGGGTGTGGCAGGAGTTAGGATATGAAGCACGTTGTGACCTCAGGACGGTGAAAAGGGAATAGGGCGCTAATGTGTTGGAGTCACGGACAGTTTAGGTCACTGGCTACTTGAAAATCAGGAGTACAGAATGGTGTGTTCATGATGTATGAAAGTGATATCAGTGGTCAACAAAGATTTTGTAATATGATTGAAAATTAACTTTTCGTATCTATTCTGACATGCTAATCGCATATCAGGACTTAATCTTGCATCACAGCGCAGTCTGGGAAAAGAAAACGGTGTTTCTAAATGCAAGATATTTCTTCGTATGCAGACAAATGACTGTGTAATGAATTTAGGGTCGAAGTAGAATTTTCTTTCATTTTATAATCTTTCTGGGGTTTTGATTATATTTATCAGCCATAAGGTGATATTGTTTTTAATAGTGATTCCATGTTTATCTTAATAAAGTGAAATGCATTTTTCAGACTTAATAATAGGTGATACGAGGTTTAATATAATATTTTTAATAACGTTTGTTGTGCGACACAGCGTAAAAATAAAAGTTGGAGAGTTTGCATAAAATTTATTGAAACTAATAAACATTGATAAAACTATATTATCTTCATTTTATGTTATGTTGATCTTTCTTCAGTACATAAGGTGCTAGTTGAAGCATGAATCATAAAGCCTAACGTGTAATTTCGACCAACAGCCCACGCTCGTCAGCCTCGACTCTCGATACTCGACCAGTCTACTCAAACGAGTTTATGCGTCAGTAGACTTCATTCTCATTTCAACATCCTGTTTATTCCTATGTATTTCAAAGCTGTGGTTAATGACCAACATCAAGATCCATTCAATAACGACAAATATAGTGTGCACATGCGCGTACCACATTTTTTTAGAGTAATTGTATTCACTTTCCTACTCGTGCTTTGAAGTCGAATAATTGAAACGACCCTCAGATAATATCCATCACGTAAAATGGAGTAATTGGAAACTTCTGCTAATCGTAATACTGCCTGTGATAGTAACTAATTCCAAAATATCTCCAATAAATGGAAACTTTCACACAAAAACCTGAAACAATTTAGGAAATGTACGCGTAGCGTAATAATCAACAGCACATTCGCCATAATTTGACTTTTGAGCTTGGTGAATGACCGAAGAAGTTCTCTGGACATTCGCTTCCGAGCAGAAGTTAACAGTGGCTTCACATTTTCGAGAAACTATTCAGTACCAAATTTGATGAAAATCTGTCTAGCCGTTCTCGAGTGGAGTACAGAGAAACGGATGGATGAAGTGTTTGACAAAAAAAATAGTCTGCTTTAATAGGGCCTATTGCTTTCTGTTAATGAAATTTTGATCCGTACTGTAATTATCTCTGAGGGGAACGAACATTCCTGTTAAAAATAGAGAGAATTAAATATGAACCTTCACATAATGAACACAGAACTTTAATAACTAACGGAAAACGTGAAGAAAATAAGGGAGACCTAAGCTTAACTAGGTGTATAATATTAAAAAAGATCGTAAATATATAGGTTATTAGCGTATGGGCTTAATTAAGCTCTTGGGGACACGGTAATGAACCTTTGAGTTCCATAAAAATAGCAGGATATATTAAACAGGTGAGCGACTATCAGCTTTTCATGAAGTTATTGCGACAGATAGGAGTAAATTATATGGGAGCTGTAAGAACGAACATGTCCATATGTTAATTAGTTTTAAAATGAGACAATTGTAGTTTATTTTGTAGGACAAAAGATAAAATGATACGAAACAAATCTGGTTGAATAATTTTAGATTGTGTTGTCTGCTGCAGTTGGCGTACGTAATGATCAGCAATGTACTTTATTAAATCGTCACCCTACACTGAGCCCGGTCGTTTTATGACAGTCTCCTCTATTTTTCTCTGTCGTGCCATAAGCCATCCTACTTTATCTGTGCCCACTCTTTCTCTACTGTGTGTTGTATATTTCCCTTTACTTTGTGACTTCGCTTTGTCCTTGGTCAATTCCAGTGATCGTTCATACAGTTGTTCTCAACTCTGTCCTTGACGAATGCCTTTCTTGAGAGCCTGAGAGTCTCTCTACTGGTCAAAGAAATTCCTTGCTTTTTATGGAACCCAAAGGTTCATTACCAAGTTCACAAAGGCCCTTCGCTGATTCATATCCTGAAGCCGTATTTTATGTTTCCAAAGGAATCCGTCACCCATGTGTATAGTCGGCGCAGTAGTTTTTGGCCGGTGGCGGAGCTGGCGGGCGGGCCTAGTCTGTGTACCTGAGGTGGCACGGTCAGTGCATTTCTTTTGTT